GGAGGAGGAGGAGGAGGAGAAATGTTCTCATCTCCTGACTTCGCATCCTGCAGGTATCAGGATGCAATTTCTTCCAAGGTCTGCCTCATCTAGAGCCAACCGTCCGCTACGCCTTCGCCAGGACGACTCACGACACCGCCATCTTCGCTGCCGTCATGGCGTCTGCCGCCCGTGCCTGGAAGCCATACAACAGCTCGCTGAGCGACGCATACCTGCACGCGGCCGAGCTAGCCTGGGAATTCCTCCTCCTCCATCCCGAGAGCCCCGTCGGAGGCTTCAAGAATCCTCCCGGGAGCTGCGGAGGGACGGGCGAGTACAACGATGAGTATGACGGAGACAACCGGCTGTGGGCGGCAGCAGAGCTCTATCGGACGACCGGGAAGGAGGGGTACCACACCTACTTCAAGGACTGGTACTCCAACAAGGTCTTCTACAACGGCAACAGCGGGAGCGGAACTGGACACTACACGGAGGTGTACTGGGCTTACGTCATGTCGGACCATCCCGACGTCGACAAGAAAGTCCAGCAGGATTTGACCAGCATCCTTCTCAGCTCTGCCTACAACCTCGCTCAGAGGCACGAGGCCTGCCCGTACCGCAGCGCCTCGAGACTCGACGTCGCGTCCTGGGTCGGGTGGGGGTCCTTCACCTACGGTTCCCGGGACTCGCTGCAGATGCTCATGGGCTGGCGGCTCAACGGCGATCAGAGCCTCCTCCTCACGGCGCTTGCCAACCTGGACAGCCAGTACGGCGCCAACCCACTCTCCTTCTCCTTCGTCACCGGGCTCGGCGTCAGGTCCCCCCGGAGACCAACGTGCGTGACTTGCATGTACGACGACGAGGAGGAGCCGTACCCCGGCATCCCAGTCTTCGGGCCCTTCGCCCATCTGTCCAACGGTCATCCCTACTACTCCATCGTCCAGCACGACGCCAACAACTTCCCCTACTTGTGGAACCTCGACGACGCTGGTGACGCTAACCCCCAGCCCCCGTCCCCAGCCCCCATCCTTCTCTTTTCCCTTCCCTTCCTCTTCCTGTTGCTATTTCTCTTCCTCCCCATTCCTTTCCTTTCCTTTCCTTTCCTTCCTTCTCCTCCTGCTCCTCCTCCTCCTCCTCATTTTCTGTCGCTCTCCTCGCCTCGCTCTCCATCCTCTCCTCGCTTTCTCTGTCTCTGTCTCTCTCCCTTCTCACTCATTCTCTCCAGTTCCCATCCTCAGGAGGTACATCGACGAGCCCAAAATCATCCCGGAGAGCGAGTACTCCATAGGCTCCATCGCCCACACCCTCGTCGCCGTCAACTTCTTCGCGAGCTTCTCGGGCGGACCGAGGAGGTTTTTCTTCGACAGCGCCCTCCTCCTTAACCGAACCGACGTCCCCGCGGCCCTGAGCAGGAGGAGGCAGGCGGGGAAGCAGCGGCAGGGGAAGATGAGGAGTGTCAGCAGCGCCGTGACGCAGAACTGGATCGAGATCAAACTTGAACGTCCTGCTACCCGCGCGGCATCAACTCACACGACTTGCACTGAAGTCTTTGACGACTCTTCCCTGCTGAAGCTCGGGACAGACGCTGCCTGCTACTGGAAGGTTGACCCCTGCTCCTTCTTCTGAAAGTCTCAACCCCCCCCCCTCTCCTCCTTCCTATTTCTCTGTGCTCCTTCCCATGATCCATCACTGTCTGTCTGCTCCCCTCTTCCGCCACCTCCTCCTGCCCCTCCTTCTCTTTCCTCTGGTCCGCGTGTCGCGCATGCTGTCTAAGACCGTTAACATTATCTCCAGGAGGACGGACTTTCCCTCTTCATCGGCCTCGGCAGCGATCACTCTCTGAGGATCGGAGACACGCTCTCCACCAGGAAGCCAGCAGTGGGTTTTGACAACAGCAACACGATGCTATGGGAGGAGAGAGTCTACCTGTGGGACGGTCGGGCAGACCCGTGCATCCTCCTCTCGTCATGGGTCGAGCTCGGGGCCCTGGCAAGAGCGATGGACCCTTCCTCTACCTGCGGCCTCTTCGTGACAGGAGGGATGGGAGCAGAAATGACTTCAGAGTTCGAAGTTTGGCTCTGCGCCGACGACGGACCGGGCCTCGCCGTCTGCCCCAGCACGGCCCTCTGCTCCTCTGCTCCCGTCAGCAACGTCTCTTACGCGTACCCCCTTCCTCTCAACACCCCGGACAGTCCTGCTCTCCCGGACGTTCCTCCTCCTCCCTCCTGGCGCAGCGTCGAAGGGCACAAGACGATGCGAGCACCGCTGAGCCTTGATGAGCACCGGGAGCAGGCGAGCAGGGAGGAGGTAAAGAAGCTGCGGGCAGTTACAAACGTTCCTGCGAGCAAGGAATGGGCATGCTTCAGGTATCATGAGCCGTCGGGGGAGTGGCGGTGGTGGGGTTTTAACTCCGAGCTTCAACTAGTGAAGCAGGACGAGACAAGTGTTGTATCGTAGTGAAGACAAGATTTTATCTTGCACGGTCCGAAAGATGTCATCCAAAACGCGCTTACATGTCAGACAGAAAAAATGCGCAAGGGAAAAAAAACTAGCAAGAGCTCCAACTCTCTGCAGTATGAGCAGGGGCCGGTCAAGTTAGAAGGGGGATCGCTCAGCCTGCAGGTGCAGATGATGGTCGTCCTTGCAAGACGCGCTGCTCCCAGTGTGTCCTCCAAAGTCGCTACACATCACAGTGGCAAAACTCGCGGAATCCTTCTTGATGGGAAAGCCGTCGACTCCGTTGAGGATGGTGGTGGCCGAGGACATCTACTTGCCATCACCATGGAGCGCTAGCAAAGGAGCGAAGCGCGTACCTGCTCGTAGCGTCCGGGGGTGTGACGGACGGAGTCGGAGTACGTCGCCGAGAAGTTGGTGAGGAGGGAGAACATGGGAGGAGCTGTTGAGAAAGATGTCAATCAGAGCAACCAGCTGCTGTTGTTCTCCCTTTGCTGATCGTACATCTTTCACTACACTTCTAGAGACAGCGGCTTTCCAACCCGTCACTTCACTGATACTGTAAACCCTGTGTTCACGTGTCCTGTTCCCTCCCTCCCTCCCTCTTTCTCCCTCCCTCCTTCCTTCCCTCCTTCCCTCCTGCTATCCGGCTCCACTCCCTGCCGCCCTTCCCTCCCTCCCTTCTCGACTCATGCAGCAGCCGAAAATAGCTCACGTCGAGTTTCACTCAATAAATGACTGCCAGTCAATGTTTTTTCCTGCGTCAATTCTCGGTGACTTACTGAGGCTACTCTGGCAGTAGCCTAGAGACTGAGCCGGGCCTAGAGCCGGCGGCCCGCCGCAGCCCAGCGGCCGACCTTCCGAGTCCCCCCACCTCCGGCTCAGTGACGTGCCGTCCAGTTCGGAACACCAGACTTGTGAAATCATTTCTCAACTTCACTTCACCGTTCACTTTCACCTCCTCCTCCTCCTAGCTTCTTGGCCCGGGGCTCCTCCTCCTCCTCCCCCTTCCTCCTCCTCCTCCTCCTCCTCCTCCTCCTCCCCGATAGCGGCATCATGATCGCAGCACAGGGACGGTGTACCACACGTTGGACCCTCTCTTGTGGACGCTGAAGGAATTCTTGTCCAGCACCTGCCGCTGCTTCACGTGCTCAGCCTCCACCCTCAGGACGCGCGCAGTCTTGGCTGGAGGTCTCGATGTTGTAGCCCCTGGTGTAGAATTAGGTGGAGGGGTGAGGAAGGAAGAGGGAGAGGAAGAAGAGCGGGACAGGAGTAGGAGGATGAGAGGAGGAGGGAGAGGAGGAGAAAGAGGAAGGAGAGACGGGGGAGCAGGGAAGTAGAGCAGTGAGGTAGAGTCAGCACCGTTTGTTCTTGGTCTCCTTTCAATTCGCATTGAAACACAGGTGTCAGAGCAGCAGCAGGGTGAGAGAGGAGAGGGAGGAGGAGGAGGAGGAGGAGGAGGAGGAGGAGGAGGAGGAGGAGGAGGAGGAGGAGGAGGAGGAGGAGGAGGA